GTTACACAGTTTACGGTACGTTTCTTTCTGTTTTCTTTATCCCCCCCCCTCTCTATCTTTCGATCAAAATCGTTCCTCCGTCCTATTGCCCCCTCCCTCCCCCTCCACTCTTTTATTATCCCGCGCGTACATATACTTATTGTAGATACTCGTAATCAGTGACGTGCTTATGTTTTACTTATCTCTATATAACCATACACAGCGTTAAAACATGTGTGTTCATACATATAAAGTAACAATGACTGCGTTTACATATGACTCTGAGCTTGTACTGACTGACGATCTAACATCTAAAATAAAAAAGAAATAATGCTAACCCAAAACGTGTAGGATCGTTATCTGTGTGTGTGTGTGTGTGTGTGTGTGTATAGTTTACGTATACGTATATTCTAAAAACCCAAGAAAGCTGGTTAATTAGTAATAATATAACATCGACGAACCGTTATAATTCTATTCTTGTTAGAGAGTAACCGACATCAACCTACTCCACAAAAAAGCGACCATTATCTAGAAAAAAATCTACCTACCCAAATACTTTTTGTTTTCCGCGTGTAACCAACGCGTTAATAACAACGTGAACGTAATAAAAAATAACACATACATGTATGTATATATATATATATAAATATGTGGATTACTAAATCGAGGGGCCCCGATCGAAGAAATCGCCGCGATCGAGATAATTACAGCCTTACACCCTAAACACATTACAAATATTACACTATCGTCAGTCAAGACTTGCTCTTTGGATGAAGAGAAAAGAAATCTAAAGAAACCTGACTGAAAATTCTCTCGATCTAAACTAGTGACATTCTGCGCCTGTGTGCATGTGTACACTCGTACAGATTTATCTAAATATGTACGAACGTACAGAGACAAAAACTAAAAACAAATCTGAATGAAGCATGGTAGAGTTTTCATATATGACTATGATGCGTACGACTGTCACGTGTGTGTATATTCCCCTACGTGTGTTTACATGTGTGAGTTTGTGCCATGTATCATCGATTCCGCGCAAACCGAAGGAAAATAGAAAAAGAAAAAAAATGACACGTCTCTATGTACGCATTCAGCACGACGCGCGCGTCGGGATCTTTAAATCGAAAAACGCGCGCGACGAACAAACAGAGCTCCTCGTTTCTACTTTATATCTCTCGCTAATCTCTCTCGTTACAACGTGTAATGCGAAAAATCTAAGGATATGACTTTTGTGTTTCTCCCACGAATTCACGAAGAAGAAAAAGGATATTGGTTTCTTTTCAGTTTTTCCCCATTTTCTCTTCTACGCGATACAAACTTTTTCTCTCTCTACGGTTCAATATGGAAGCATACACATATATACATGTAGGCGCGCGCAAACGTGCTTTGTGTTAATAATAATTACCGTATATGTGGTGTACATATATCTGTGTGTCTGTGTCTCTGTTTGTGTGTCTGTGTGTGTGTGGTTCGATAAAACACGCGACACTTACACGCTGATTGTAACCTCTTTATATTTCTTCGGTGTACATATATCTGTGTGTCTGTGTCTCTGTTTGTGTGTGTGTTTGTGTGTGTGGTTCGATAAAACACGCGACACTTACACGCTGATTGTAACCTCTTTATATTTCTTCTTTTTTTTTTTTTTTGCTGTTTTGTTTAAGTTCACGTTTACTGCCAACACTTCCGCTATACTACATGTATTTATCAAAGAAAGAGACACCTCGTGAAAAGTCTATTCTTCTTACTATCTCTCGTCAATTCACCATTTTCTTTTTCTCTTCTATTTGATCTCTTTCGTTTGCAGTAGATATACAAATCGTTTAAGTATGATTAATCGTTAAACAGGCACATCGACTTGGTTACATGATTTCCTTTTTTTTTTCTTCTTTCAATTTTTACATCGTATAACGCGCGTAAAGAACGATGATCGTTACCGAGAAAGAAAAAAGAAGAAGAAAAAGAAAAACAACAACAGCCAATTCGTTTCTAAGAGAAGAGACGCGCTGCTTGAAATTTTCTCGAACACATCCGATCGAAGGAAACAACGAAGAAGAAAATTAAACGAAGATCGACGCTTAAACGTCGGACACTATTTGCGAACAAGCACGTCGTTAGCTTTGTTTCCCTGTTTTTGTAATACAGTAGGTGTCCTTTTGTTCGTACAAATTGCATCGATTACGAAAGAACTGTCTATATATAGTAGATTGAAAAATTAACAGATCACAACAGCAGCGTCTGTGATTCATTTTTCTTCTTTCGTTTTTTTCTTTTTTTTGTTTAAAGACGTTGAAATATTTCCTTCGTGATATCGATAACATATCTAAAAAAATTTCACTTCGTCATTCACTCTAACTTCTTATTTCCTCCCTCTCTAAATACAGTCACGCTAAATTTCCCCATTCATTCGACACATCGTGCTCACACACTAGAACCCATTCTCACGCATCTACCTGTAAAATACTTCTAGTTAAACTCTGGACATGGATCACTCTAATCAACATACCACAGCTAATTATCCCGTACGTTATCATACAGCTATGTATATAAAATAATTAGCAAAACAATGCCTAAGCGTCATTCCATTAAAAACCACGAGATACACGTCAGCACGCAGAAAAACCTTTTTCTTTTTTTCTTTTCAAGTGTGTCGCAAGTATAGTATAGAATAGTAGTGTGTGTATATTGTTTATCCATGCTCATGTGTCTATGCACTTGTGTGTATATGTGTGTGTGTGTGTGAATGTGCAAATCCACCCTTTACAAAGTTGTTTGAACATCAAGAATGTATGTAGGAAGAGAGCCATTCGCGATAATTCTATTTACAAATCGACGATTTATATTTTGGGAGGCGATGCAGAAGATGTACAATCGAGTGCACAGTTCGTTCGAAGAAATACACGGCTACATATATACCGATCGTCCCGATAAATTCATTCGTTTTCTTTTCTTCTTCTTCTTCTTTCTGCGAGACGTCTCGCGGAAAGAAACTGCTTTATACTGACGTGGAAAAGTGCGAGAAGGAAGAACATGATTCGACGAAGGTACGCGGCGGGGCGATAATAAACGAAAGGGACACACTTTTTTCTCCCTTGAAAAGTTTGCACCATTTGAGGACACGTTCACACGTAAATAAGAAAGGATCAGAGTGTACGTTGAAGAAAAGTGTGTGTGCAATTCGACATTGTAAAACAAGACGTAATATCATCATTTTCCAAACGAAATTGCTTCCTCTATTTATCATTTAAGTCTCACGAAAACCTCGAATGTATATATATGTAGGAACCGACGACGGAAAAATAATTGATGGATCAACGGGAATCGAACACGGGATCTCAAGGTTGGCAAGCAGAGACACTACGCACTACGCCAACCACTCCCTCTATGTTCTCCCGTGTCGGTTTCCTATATTAGGGAAAGGAGACCCCCCGATACTACATATATATTCGATTCGTTCCATTTTTCTCACCCCTAATCACCCCACTTTCTTTTCTCTCTCTTTTATCGTACACACATCCCCTTGGTTGTTGCCCCAACAATGCTGATTCTTGTGTAATCGCAGATTTGTGCAATGTACCCGGTTACATACGATATATCCTTAAACTACAAACAAACCACCCTCGGTGAAATGCAAAACTATTCGAAACGCAACGGTAATAATATTGTAGGAGGAAAACGAAAAGTGTGTCGATTGAATCTCTCATCGATGATCGATGCGAAATTATACATCAGTGGTATGTGTGGTGTGTGTGTGTGGTTGACAATGCGTGGTTGTGTACCGACAAATCTAACGAGCACGAAATCTCATCAATCTGAAACTATATGTACAGAGATATAGATACAGTTGAGAACCCTGCATTTCTATCAAAAATCGAACGGTGGATATCTAACGAGAATCGAAGAAAAAAGAAAAAAAAGAAAGAAAGAAAAACTGCGAACTGCTAATAGTGTACTTATCTTAAGGTCAGTGATGCCTAATTTGCAATAATAATAACAATAGTAGTAGTAGTAGTAGTAGTAGTAGCAGTAGTAGTAGTAGTAGTAGTAGTAGTAGTAGTAGCAGTAGTAGTAGTAGCAGTAGTAGTAGGAGCAGTAGTAGTAGCAGTAGTAGTAGTAGTAGTAGTAGTAGTAGTAGTAGTAGTAGTAGTAGTAGTAGTAGTAGTAGTAGTAATAGTAGTAGTAGTAGTAATAGTAGTAGTAGTAGTAGTAGTAGTAGTAGTAGTAGTAGTAGCAGTAGTAGTAGTAGTAGTAGTAGTAGTAGTAGTAGTAGTAGTAGTAGTAGTAGTATTGATAATAATAATAATAATAGTTCATAGTAATATGAAAAGGAGAATAAGAATAATTATGTAGTAAAAATAAATAGTGAGGCTGCTGCGAGGAGGCACAGCTTTTGTCAAATACAAGTTAACCGTGCGATCAAAAGTGTATTAATTAATCATTATCACGTACGAATCGAA